TAATGAGTAGCTATTAAAATCAGTAAGTATTTTTTGGCAGCAATCCGATTCTCTGAAAATAGAGCCACAAAATGCTTTGCAACAGGTATATTATTTATGGAGAGTATATAAAGGCTTTGGTTGTAAAAATTAATTATGGACTGAGCAACTCTATTTGCTTTCTGCTTCATATTCTTAGCTAAATGTCGTTGCCATTGCTCTCCAAATTGTTTCTTTCTCACAGGACCAAGATTAAAACAAAAGCCACTTAAAATAGCAGCATAGTCAGAAAGGACAATGGCTTAAAAGGAAGTTATTAGAAGTCAAGACAAGAAATGAGTGGAGCTTACAAATGGCACACAGAATCCAGTATCAGGCAAGACCATGACTCCTATCTGTTCCTTATGCATAAGTACCAATAGCGAGGTATTAACAGATGAGCATTTATTTTTGTAAGAGTTAATAAAAAATAATGGCAGTAGGTGAGTTGGGTGCATGAGATTCATAGTCTGACTAATTACAGGGGTGGTGAGCAAGGCAAAATGGAGGGTTTGAAACAAAATGAGCTCCATTCTGAAATGAGCTCCATCCTGATGCCATTTGTAGCTCATCAAACTGTAACAACTCTGCTCTTGACTCCAGCCTCTTCAGGATGCAGTGACTGCTATTGTCATCCTTCTCTTCATAGGCTTTCCTGTCAAATTATCATATTTACCCTCTTTTTATGACCTAGGCCCAGGTCTATCCTATTCTCCTGTCTATCCTGTTCTTTTAATTATTTTTCCTTTCTTTCCCCCTTAAATTTTACAGGATTACTTCCTGACCTGCAGTTATCTACATCTGCTAGCACATCAGCCTTTAAACTGACAATACTCAGTAACCTCGGCAACAGAGGGCCTCTCAACAATGGCTTTCTATCAGTGTTAGATTCTTCCTTTTCTTCATGTCTCCTTTGTCTGTTTTGATCTTGAATTCTGTTCCCTGGTTTGATTTTGATTCCTAGTCACATATCTCATTTCTTTATCCATTGTCTTTCTTTATCTTGTCTTTTGCCAGCCCCTTCCCTAATATCTACTTTGGATGAACACAACCCTGGCATGAGGACATGTCCGGTTCCTCCTGACTGGGGTCCAAATCACAGATCATGTCTCACCTTGCCCCTAAAATGGGTTAATTCTTTGATTGTTGTGATTCACACATTTCAACTCATTCCAAGTGCTGTATCTGATTCTTCTCTCTATCCCTTAAACCTCTTTTTCATGTTTGTTTGCTTTATCCTCTGATTACAGTCCTCTTAAGAACATAGGACAGGGTTGCACAGGTCATCAAATCCATTCCTCCTGCCTTTTGCAGGCAAGTGATGGAACTTCCTTCATAAATCTGCCAAGCCCTACTTTAAAATCTATTTTCTCCCTCTGCACTCCTAACAGAAGGCCGTTTCCACACCTAATAATTAGAAACCATCTTCCAGTTCTCCAGCCTATACTGATTTGTATCTTGCTTATGCTCATTTCCTTTTGTGACAATTCCATCCATTAACATCCCTGATATGCTTAGCAGTGTCTCACATCTTATTTTCCTAGGTTAAACAAATCAAACCTTTCTAATCTATGTGTCTCAGATAAGGTCTCCATTCCCCGGAGGCCTCTGCTCTGTTTAAGTCTGAATTAATTCTTGAACATGGGTGATCATAATTCCCTGTGATATCCTAGGTGGGATGCAGTATTAATTTTCATACCTTTACTGGAAATATTTTATCTGATCCTAGGCACTACTCGCTTACTTCATAGCTGCATCACTCTGGTGACTCCAAAATGCTGTGTGACCGACTGACTTCCACCCAGGAGTTTCAGGTTATATTCTCTATTGTTAATTCTCACAAGAAACTGTTACTGTTAGTCCTTATGTGCATGACCCTGAATTTTGTAGTATTTAGTATCTTCTAATTTTCTATACTTCAGTCACTGAGAATAAAAATTGCATAAATTCACAATGTATGTATGTATGCATAAATGTATAAATTTATGACATATACATTGGTCTTCCCCAATCTTACTTTATCTGCAAAACTCATTAAAAAAACCCTCTCATTTTTATGCAAAGGTCTTGAAAATATTAAGTGATATTGGTTCCCAGATGAGTCCTTACCTGATTCTACTCACATCCTTCTTTCAGCCCAGCAGTTCTCACCTCAGTACACGCTATCATTATTGCCTGTTTAGCCAGTGCTATAGCTAAAAAGCTTCATATCTATCTCCATTTTGTCCAGCTTGTCCATGGCCCTCGTGTGCACCTACAGGCTCTGCAGCCTCTTCTCCCCACTCCTATGGGTTTGGCTGCCTGTGCTCAAGACCACCTCTGACCTGGCACAGCCATGTAACATTGTCAGGCAGTGGTGACACATTTGATGTGCGAGGAAGAGCTTGGAGAAGAAACCTTGTTGGTGCCTCCCTGCACTTAAGGAGTGGGTGCTGCATTTAAGCTCAAGCCCTTGCCCTCAGTCTCTGCCTGCACTACATTGCAGCTATGCCTGCGCCTCGCTTTGCACCTCACTGACCCAGACCCTGATTTGCAGACTTGACTTCCCGGCTTGACCTCAGATTTGTCTCCGCAGTATGAACCTCTCTGGAGATCTGGACTCTTGATTGATCCTGGTTATTATCCCCAGACCTGCTCTTCCTGCATTCGGGTACTGTGGGATCGAGCCCTGTAGGTGAGGACACTGCCCCGACTACGTTGGTGTTGTCTTCATCTTCCAACTTCCTTCCCCTTTCGGAGCAGCCCCCTCTTGCTGCTTCTTGAAACAGCTCAGCATTTTATAGTATGAAATTATTTCCTGTGGTTCAGATGTGAAAGATGTTGTTGATTTAATCAGTCAGTAGGTTATCCTGGCACATCTTGCCTCTCTGTGTCCCCAAACTATTAAAGTTTATAGCTCTGGTGTACAGTTACAGACGTCAGTGTTGGCTCTGACTGGTGATTAGGTACCTGGTATGACAACAGTGCAGCTGAACTGAAACTAGGCTGAGTTCTTACAACACCATCTCACATTAAAGACCACACAGGCTCAACGGCAGGAAAAGTTGATTCGAAGAAAAGGGCAGGTAAATAACGTATGCTGGGTTTAATATTGGTGTAATACTGATATGTGGGGAAGTAGGGACCCCTACAACCAATCTGCTGTTGATCTTAATTCACAAGTCATGGAGGTATTTTGCAGATGCCTAAAAAGAGGAAGACATACTGGGACAGGCACTGAAAAAGTACTAGCATTTGGTTTTGAGACTAACAGCAACCTGAGAAGCTGGAAAGGCAAGAAAGGCTGGTACACAGAAAAAACCAGCACTGACGAGTGAATTTGACTCATCTTTGGATAGAAATAAAAAGGTTGTTAAGATAGTTTTGAACATACGGTCAAAACTATAACCCGTTTCAGCCCTGGTACGTGATGAATCCATATCTGAGCCTACTACCTAAGATTTGATGAGGCCTTCTTTACATAAAGCAGCAGAGGATCCCACCTTCAGGTCTCGCTTTCAGTTTCTACAGTCTGCTTCTGGAGTATGACTTCAAATTCATCTGTAGCGCTTGCAGCTCTCGGAGCCCTGGAAAGAATTTCTCCAGCTGGGGGAGTATGCAACTCATGCGAGTATGGCTTTTACGCAGCAGCTGCCACTACGCTTCACCTAATTCAGCCAATAAATGTGTTTTTAGAATCAAACCGGTGTAGATGTAGTCAAATCCCTACCTATAAAACTGGCACTGAATTCTCCAAGTTACAGGCATATACTTGGGGTGAAGCGGTTTTGCTTTGTTTGGTGTACTTAACAATTCACTAGCTTACGCCTCCTGCATGTATGCACAATTCCTCACAGTCAAAATTTTTGCATGAAGGGAATTGCAGAGGGAGAAGCAGCTGGGAGAAATTAGCGACTGTTGCTTCTTGTATGGAAACACTTTATGGACTAAACAGTGATAGTGACAAAACTGTGTGTAAGTGTCATAAATACTGTCTCCCTCTCGGTCCCCCACAGCTCACTGACTATGTGTACTTCCACAACAAAGCAAAGAGTTGACAAGATGAAAACCATCAAGATGAACCTTGAACTTGGGTTTCCCAGCAAGAAGTGCACTACATCATCTCTTGGCAAGAGGACTGGAGTATTTTCCGTTGACTTATGAGTGACAAATGGCTGAGGCGTACAAGAGCATTATTGTTGCCGCCCTGTACTGGGGGAGCAGTTTCGAGGCGGCCGCGGAAGCAATGGGCATCTGGTAAGAGGAATCCCAGCAGCCGAGCCCAGGCCATCTGGGGTGAAACCTCAGAAGTGAGCAGTCACTGCGAAGAGAAAGACCGAGTCCACTCAGGGCGGGATGACAGTGAGAGAAACAAGCAGGCTATGTTGCTGGATGTAACAGTCTATTATACGCAAAATGCCGCCTTCCTTGAATTTGGGGCTGGAGTAACAAACAAATTTACCAACAGAAAAATGCAGTGGTTTGAGAGCTAAAATAGACAATGTATCAAACTCAGGCTTGTGCGTACTTACCCCTAGCCTTGCTCAAGGTTGACTTCAGCAAGTCAGGATGAGTTTGTGCGCATACATACTGAAGCACTTATGTTGGGAAACACACTTAATTGCTTAATCTCTTCGTGAAATACAAAGAATGTTCAGTTTGCAGCAGGGTGTTACAAGATCTGGGAAGGTGCAGGGGTGACCCCGCAAGTCGGAAACGGGCTGCCAGCACAATCTGATTTTTGTGCCTTTGTGCAGATACACTGTAAGTTCAGCCCAGCTCTCTGACAGTCTATTCTGTACTTTTTCAGTATGCTTATATGCAGGTTGGAAGCCTTGCTGTTCACTTCCTCCCATTACCAAAATCGCTTTTATTGACTTTTTTAAAGTAATTTTTTTTTTCTTTAGGAAAACTATGCAATAGATTTTAATCGGCATTTTATTTTAATGCAACGTTATTTCTTCCTCTCCGCAGTAACATGGATTTTCTCCAGTCATACGCAGCTAGCGCTGACATACTACTCCCAGACACAGCAGGAAAAATGCATTCGGCTTGTTTGCAATTCTAGCGTTCGGAATGCCTACCCGGAAGGCTCCCCCCCCCGCAGTACAGGCTTTTTGTCTCTCTCTCTCTCTCGGATAACCTGATGAACGTCCCGTTTTCAGACGGTCAAGACAATTTCCAGGGAGGCTGCGCGTAGTCTTCCGATCCCCGGACGCCGGCCCTGCTGCCGGCGCCCCGGCGGCCGCGGCCGTTCGGAGGGCACGTGCCGCCCGCCTCGTGCGGCGGGCGCCCAGAGGCGGGCGTTTACCTCTCCCGGCCCTACCTGGCCGCCCCCGAAACCCGGGCCCCGGCGGCCTCCCGGTGCGCGCCCGGCCGCCGCGAGCGCCGCGGGGAGCCTGCGGCAGCCTCTGTCCCCTCCTTCCGCCGTGGCTCCCGGCTTCACCGCCCCTGGGGGCCCAGCGGCCCCTCTCGCTCTGCCGCCTCGGCGGCCCTCGGGGACGGGGCCCGGCGCGGCGGGGGGGGGAGCGGCGGGGCGGGGCAGGGGTGTGTCCTGCTCCCTGCCCGGGGCAGCGGGGTCTTCTCTCCTCTCTGGGGCGGCGGCGGCTCACTCTCCTGGCTGGCCCCGGGCCGTACGAGCCAGCAGCTCGGCTGCTGAGGAGCCATGGCACGGGAAGGTTTGCCGCTCCTCTTGCTGCTGGCGGCGCTCGGCAGCCGAGGCCAGCCGCCGCCGCCGCCGCCACAGAGAGGTACGGGGAGCGGGGAGCCCGTGCCTCGCTCGCCCCGGCCGGGGCCGCGGAGGACGTGGAGGGGGAGGCGGCCCCGCCACCGGCTCCGGAGCCCTTGTGGTGACGGGAGGGTCGGGGGGACAGGCGCCGCGCGTGGCAAGTAACCCCCAGCCTCCAGAGGGGACTCGGCGGCGGGACGCTGCCGGGGCACCGCCGCTGGTCCCCCGGCCGGGCCGAGGAGGGCGGCCGTGGCGCCGGGAGCGCAGCCCGCGGTGGGGGCCGCGGCCTCCCGCCTCGCCGAGGTGCGGCGGGGAACCGGGCGGGGAGCTGCACCGCGGCCCCGTTACTCCCTGTCTGCCGCTCGCCCTTCCCCGTTAACTCTCGCACGCAGGCTTTGATTTAAGAGGCAAAGTCGCGGTTCAGAGCGTGGCAGGTGAGCTGCGCTGTGACTGAGCACGGAGGGGCGAATCGCGCCTACTGTTATTAGAGTCTAGGGACGACAGGACGACGTGTCCTGGTCCCCGAAGCGGCCTTACGTAGTCTTCACAGGCTGATCTGTTGGCAGCCCTCTCTCTCCCCGTGTTGTGCCCGTCTGTTGGCATCTCTGTGGTTAGGGGAAGCTTGGTAGGCTGTATTGAAACAAGTGCGGGCTGCTCGGGCTGCTTTTACCTAAGGTGACAGTTTGATGCGCTTACCCCGTAACAAAGCTTTTCTCGGTGTTAAAAACTAGCCACGACTGGAGTGGGAACAGAATCAGTCGTACCCTGCACGAGTAGTCAAGGTCTTACACGTGCAATCACCTTCCATTGTGCAGTGTTTAGGTGTGTTGACAGTAAGGGGTTTTTTGTTTGTTTGCTTTTTCAATTAGTGTTATGTGGAAGGATCAAAAAGGGGGATGTGTAGGTATGGGAGAAACAAACTTTATTAAATTTATCAGCTCTCAGAGGAAATCCTTAAAACCATTCTTCAGCTCACAGTATTCCTTCTGGTGCCTGCATTTGCTGCTCTTTACATTTTTGGCCTTGCCAAAAAGAATTCAGTAAGGAGATACCATGGGTGTGTTAAAATAAAATTAAAGCCTCTGGAATAACAGCTAGCTTCTGTTTGACCTTGATGTCACACTATAGGCTGAACACTTTGGATTAGGAATTTTTAGGGTTTAGGGTTTACTTTGGAAAACATGATGCGCTGTCATTTTGTGAAAAAAGTGTCTCAAGCAGCTGACTTCTTAATACTAATTTTACTGTGTGAGGATGAACGACAGTTGATCAAGTATCTCTGTAGATAAAAACGCATCCAGAATTAGACTGTGTTTAGATGATGACTTATTGGTAAACATTGAAGACTGAGATTTTTAAAAGTAGACAATTTAAGGTATAGTACACCATGCATTTTCCTCTTGCTTTTTTTTTTTCTTTTTCTTTTTTCCCCTGCCAGCTAATTAATTTGTGAGCTAGAAAAATACTGGTTTGGCATTTCTTTTAATAAGCTCTCTCTCTCTCTCTCACACACACACACACACACAGAGACACTTTTGGAGAATGTCCGTTTCTTTATGCAGTATCTTGGTTTTTTTAACCTCTGCAGTGAAGGGATATGATCATTATTTTCCTTTTAAATTAGAAGTGGGTGTCTTGGGCGTTCATCTGCTGCATCGCTGGTGTTATGTTATAACGGAGTTCTGGTAATTCAGTGAGGCACACTAGGACTTTTAATTAAATGTTAATAATGTGATGATGGGACCTTCTAAACCTCACACTTGAATTCAAGTGCTGGCCTGCCAAATTTTTAAGCCATTTACTCTCTTCTAAATTTCTTTCTAAGATCTGTTACAGCTGCTAGGAGGTGCTAGCACTATGTAGATATCACTGTGTTGCCCTGGCAAAGAGGTAATGAACTCCACTCTGATGCAAAAAGTTTGAAAGTCTGACTTCACTGAAGTCCTGGGGGATTTTTAACATATACAAGAATGTTACTAGACCCATGGTTTATACCTTAGACTTAAAACTTTTGTTTTTTCACTTAATAGTTATTTGGTAATAACCATAATGTTGGATGGTAAGTATTGCTCTCTAATTGTTAGCACCAGTTGGATGTCTGTGGAGAAAATTATGTAACAGAGCTGTAATGCTTTGAAAAACAGTATTTGAGACATCACAATGAATTCCCATGTTGTTTTTTAGAACAGAACAGTTCAAGAACATTTTGCACCTCAAAGATGAGAACAGTCTGTAATTCTGTTCGTTTTGTTGTGGTTTTTTTTTATTATTTTTATTTTTAAGTTGGTAGAAGATTTACTGTGGTCAGAAACCTGGAGTTAATTTAATTTTTTTTTTTTCAGCTACACATGTTGTTTGTTCTTCTGTTGTTTGAGCACTAAGTAGTCATGTAGAATTTCTCATAAAATGGAAGAATCAGAACCAGAAAGGCATATGCATTCTATAACTGTTTCTTAATGGTATGCAAAACTTGCAGTTAAGGCAAACTTACTGAAGTGCTATATAATGTTCCTTTTGAATCTTGAACCTTGGTTCATCCTCTTTCCTGTGGAATGTGAGAGCAACAAAATAGTAGTAGTTTAGAAAGGAATAAAAAACTTGCTTTTGATCTTGAAGACTTCATCCTTTTATTAAAAGTTGTAAGTATCGATCATGGGAGAGTACTGAAGCTATGTATCTGTGAAAGGTGTGAGTAGTAGGGACAGGGCTAAGGAACATACACTGCACAGTAACCTGATCTGTGGTGTCAGCTGCTGACATCAGTGGAGATAACTCATGGAGTACGGGTGTTTCTTAGCATCTCACAAATTAGAAGTGTAAGTTGACTCCAAGAGGTGAAGTATATAGGGTGCTTATAAAGTCAAAGTGAAATTTCTCACTCGAAAGAGAAATGAGGGGTGAATGTCAACCTAGTGTTAGCAGAATATGACTGGTGGCAGTCTTTTAGGCAATGGATGGTGGCATGTTGGTCAGTACTTTTAAGTCTGTCTGTAGATGTAGGTTTTTTAAATGAGTTTTCAGAGTTCAAAACTGTTATCTTTGTGTTATCTCATGGAAATAAGGAGTTACAGGATTCCTTCCCGCATACATACATATATGCGTATTGTACTCTGAAAAGTCAAGAGAGAAGGATAATGGGACATAATTTTAATATTTCACATATTAAGATTGAAGAATGTTGCGTGGACTTAGGTTCTTTATTTCTGGAGAAAAAAAAAACAGATGTTTTTTAATCTGTTATTAATCTGTTATTAATTTTTTAAATTAATTTTTAATCTATTAAAGCAAAAGTCAAGTCTCCTATTTCTTTATAGGGACCTCTTTAGAGTAAGGTCAGTCTTCAAAAATGACCAACCCCCCCCAGGTGTAATCTTGCTATAGAGAGCATTTGCATCATGGCTGATGGCATTTAACCATTCAAAACATTCTGCTGACTTTATTTGGAGAATGGTGCTTGTAAATTATTTAGTTGGTATTGGAAAGAATAATGTTGGTAAATTTGCATTCTACTTTCCTGCGAGAACAAGGCTTAGTGATTGCTCTGTTTATCAGCTTGTTCTCACCTAAATAAATTTTGAAGCTGTTGTCCAATATCAACTAAATGTGAAAGCAATGTAGAAATCTTTAAGATAATCACTGAAAATCAATGGCTGTTTGGGAGAGAGTGCCAAAGTACTTTCTCTTCTGTGAGAGGAAAGGTAGAATTTAGCCATTATCTAATCCATTCAGTCTGGTTGGTCAACATATATAGGGCTCTAGCTTCAAGAATGTGAAGGAAAATATGTCTGTTATGGAGGGCAGGTGTATTACAATATGTAAAATTCTGTGTATAATTTAAAAAAAAAGAGTTCCTTAATCCAAAATCAGGATTTTGTAACAGGTAACAAGCCTTGGTCACTCAAGGTGTACTGCAGTATAGTATGTTCTATGTATACCCTTTTTACATTAATTCTATCTGCTACTAAATGTTTTCGCAGATAAACTTTTGGTGATCTGGAAATTAGGATTTTTGTTTGTTTGTTTTAAATGTATTTATACAAGACCGATATTGATCAGTTCTAGAAACTCTCTTAGGAGTATTTAGTGCTGCCTGATCAGTAGGGATTAAGCAGCCCCAAAATTTTGGGAGATGCTGATCTCAAAAATATGTTGCGATGGCTGCTAACTTTTTACTTCAAAGTTGTTGTCCATATTATTTTCTTACAGTTTAATAACTGGTTGAGAAAGTGAAAGCAGAGGGTATTAATATGTGTTTCAGGTTTAGAATGTGAGAAAGTAAAACAAAGTAATTAAGGGCCAATGTAAGGTATTAGAAATAGGTAGAATTGCCCAGACTGACTGCAGACATGAATTTGTGTGTTTTTTGTGTACATGCTTTAACTTGAAATAACCACAGCCACACTGAATGAGGTAGGTCCTGTGCAAGAATGTGTGAATTTCTCCAAGCAAAAAATAAAAACATAAGATGCACTTTATGTTTAAACTCCTTATTATTAATTTTTTCTCCTACAAGTTTTTTACAAGAGTCTTTCTTATTAGGCTTGAAATAATAAAGTCAGAACAGTGGTTCTTTAACCTGTTCCAAAAATCCGCTTTAAAAAAATACAGCAAACAATCATTTTTAATTAATTCAGGCTGGAGGAAGGAATCCACCCACACATGTTCTAATTCTTATCCAGCTACTTGGACTGACAGTTTTTTGAGATTATAGTATTTTGGAATAAGAGGCAGCATGGATTCCTGGTGCAGGGTTGCCCCACGCCCCCTTTTTTTCTCCTGAAGTCCAGACTCCTTACACTTGTAGGTCAGGAATGGTGATAGGACACAAATACATGCAAATGTGAACCAGTGTGCATACCTGATTATCTCATTTTCTTTCCCAAATGTTTTCTTAGATAATAAGCCGTTAATTACTGGATGTTTTTCTCCTGAATGAGCGTTCTGTCTACAATATCTTGAGAGCTTATATGTCACACGCTAACAACTCAGGCCACACTAACAGTAATACAGACCAAGTCTTGCTTGTAGAAGTAAAATACACCAAAATATATCATGTTTGCTAAACTTTATATTGACTCCATCCATGTCTTTGAAACAAGAAGAGGAATTCTTTGGTGTTTGCCAGTAAAACTAGTTCATGAGCTGGCTCATGCTGATGACTACATGTTATTTATTCTCTTGTACCAGCTACTGTAGTTGATAGTCGATTCCTAGTTCCTGCTTTTCCACAGACTTGATGTTCTCCTCAATCTGAAAATGTAGATAAGAGAGGTACTAAAGAAAATGGCAGGCAATGGTGTTGGACCACTTCTGTACCATGGATAAGGTAGAGATTTGACCTTTCTTCTTTTTAATTTTTTTTTAATGATTTATTTTTATTAGAAAAATGATAAGATTTCCAGAAAAAGGAACTTGAATTTGTGTGATTTTTGTTCTGAGAAGTAACAGAGAGATCTCAGGATTCTTGCAAAACTCAAAACAAATAACTGTTACTACCCTCAATTTTTTCAGTAGTTCAGTCTCCATTAGTTATACCTTACTATCACAAGGATTTTCCTAGGACTCTGCTTCCTGCCAGATTCCTCTAGCAGACATTATCTTTG